GCGGCATCATGATGTAGTCAATGCAGATCGCAGTGTTCTCGCCGAAATACGTCGGCGCCAGGAGATCATGGGGTTGACGATCAGAAGTCCATGTCGTTCTGCGTACTGGCGTACCTTCTGGCCAGCTCCTCCTGCTAGTCGTTCTGACGCCCTACCTGGACCCACTGCCAATGTGTCTGGTCTTGCTCCTTTCTGTGTGATGCCCACGCCGTCTTTCAAATCTCCAGCCGTGATGATAATGGCTTTGCGCGGCCTGTTCTTGGTGATTGTCTCCATCCATGCGAAGAGCCTGTTCATGGTGGCGAAGTAGTCCTTGCTTGCGTTCTTTCCCTTGGTAGGCTGCGGCGGGCAGTAGTTTCATATGATGATCAGCGTCTAGTCGTGGTGCTGCAATGTGATAGCCAGTCCTCGTCCGCTGAGTTATGGTGGTTGTTCCGACAGGTCTACGACTGTTGCGTTCCTGAGCCTGCCTTGCAGCGCAATGATGATCCCTGTGCTCTTGTTGGTGAGGTATCTGATTTGCCAACTGGCTTCGTAGTATCGTGTATTCTCGCTTCGATTCTGAGTGATTACGGGCTCTCTTCTTCTGCGTGCTGTCCCCGTCAGTACTATTGCATCGGAATTAGACGCTTCTTCGTAAATCTCCGCCAGTCTGTCGGGATTCGGCGGGGGCGGGTTGAATAAAAACACTGCGACAGAAGCGGTCCATGCCGCCATCGTGCGGGCCGCCGCCCCTTCTATCCGCACTATTTGTGGAATGACATAGTGGCGGTTTGGGCTGCCCTGACAATCTCTTAGGCCCAGATGGCAGGAGGAGGAGGAGGAGGAGGAGGAGGAGGAGTAGGAGGAGGAGGAGGAGGACGCGTACGACTACCACGCACAACCCCGCAGTTCCTTGCCCCACGGCCTCCGCGCCCCCCGCCCCCCCAGCCAAACCCCGAGTGGCCGCGTGCCCTGCGAGGGAGCCCGCGGGGGGCGCGTTTGGGGAAGCGGCCATAGGGGCCGCTGGCCAGCCGGCAGCAGGTGGCGCCCCCGCGGCGGGCTCGACATCCCGATTGGCCGCATGCCTTGCGAGGGAGCCCGCGGGGGGCGTCCCGGGGGTGTCGGGCCTGGGGACGGCCGAAGCCACCCCCTGGAGCCCCACGCCTGGCCCCCCCGACCGTCCCGCGACCCTCGACTACCTCGCGGCCCCCGCGACAGACCCCGCAACCCCCCAGCCGAGCCCCGAATGGCCGCGTGCCCTGAGGCAGGCGCGGCGGGGGGCATGCCCGGGGAAGCTGCCATAGGAGCCGTCGGCCTGGCCGAGTCTGGCGCCGCCTGCCCTGCGGCGGGCTCGGCGCCCCGTGTGGCCGCGTGCACTGCGAGGGGGCCCGCGGGGGGCATGCCCTGGGAAACAGCCGTTGGGGCAGCCATAGCCGCCCCCCAGGGCCCCCGACCCGACCCACCACCGCGACTGCCCCCACGACCCAGCGCCGCGACTGCCTCCCACGACCCGCCGCCGCAACGGCCTCCCACGACGTCCCCCGCGGAGGCCTACCTCCCCCCCCCGACGACGCCCCCGGTTACTTCCGCGACGGCCCCCACGACCCCCCGCCCGACATTCCTTGCGACGGCAGCGCCCCGAGTTGTCGCGTGGCTTGTGGTGGGGGGGGGCGTTGGGGGGCGTGCCCGGGGAAGGGGCCAGAGGGGCCGCTGGCAAGGCCAAAGTTGGCGCCGCCCACCCAGCGGCGGGCTCGGCACTCCGAGTGGCCGCGTGCCCTGCGAGGGAGCCCGCGGGGGGCATGCCTGGGGAAGCGGCCCTAGGGGCTGCCGACGACGCCCCTTGGGGCCCCCCCGACCCCGCGGGGGGCATGCCTGGGGAAGCGGCCCTAGGCTAGGGGCTGCCGACGACGCCCCTTGGGGCCCCCCCCCGACCCACGCGACGGCCCAGCGCCGGCCCACTCAACCCCAACCCCTCTTCGACCCACCACGCCACGAACCCTTGCGACGGCCTCTGTGCGCCGGCCTCCACGACGGCCCCTCGCCGCCGCCTCGACGTCAGACCCCGCGGGGAACCCCGTGACGGCCTTCCTGGCTTGCGCGGGCGGTGCTTCCCTCGCGGGCTGCTGGTCTGACGAAAGGACAGCTGAGGTGAAGGCCTCTCGCCTCGCGACGGCCCCCTCGACTCCCTCTGCGACGGCCTCTGGGTGAGGACCTCTGCGACGGCTACCCCCTCGACCAAACCCCCGCCACGACCCCCGCGACGGCGACGGCCAAGGCGGGCGCGAAAACGGCCGCGGCTAGTGCGACAGCCCCCACGCCTGCCCTCGCGACGACCCCCGCGACGGCCTCGCCGACAGCCCGCGCGACAGTCTCGCGGACTACCGCTGCAAGCGCGACGGCGAAGACAGCGGCGTATCGCCAGGGGAGACAAGCCCCGAGGAGGACGAGCGCGCCACCTCGGGCGATTCTGACACGTCTAATCCACTCCTCGCCGCCTGGCGACGGAGGCGGCGGTGACCCTACAGGAGGACGCCCCCTCGCCGCCCCTCGTCCTCGGGCCGCGCGACCCACGGCCTCCCGAAGCGAGGGCGAGGCCGCCCAAACGGCAACGGGCCTCAGGGCGCCCCACGGGTTGCGCGGCATGCCCGGCAGCGCCCTCGCGCCCACCCCGACTTGTATGGAAGAAGGCCCCTGCGACGGCAGAGGCGACAGATCGTCTCTCCAAGATCGTCGTGCAACGGCAGTGGCAACATATATCAGTGCGCTATTTCCCGCATATTTCTTTTGCTTCATTGCAGACAGGGACGCCAGCTTCTACATGCGCACTCCCATCCGTGCGCTGTTCAATTCTTCAACCGACACGCACGCACTCACCGTGAGACGGAAGCGGCTCAGATGGTGGCATGTGGAAGCTATCTTCTCTTGGCATATCTACAGCGCGAACATCCGCGGCGATTGCGATCAGCGCGGGACCCCACGGGCCTTTCTCACCCGCTCGAGCTCAAACCATTGCCGCAAGGAACGCATGCCCCCCCCCCCCCGATGGGGCTTTCTCACCCGCAGCGCATGAGGCCTCCACCTACCGCCACCCCCTGCCGGCTCACCTTCTTGCAGCCCTGACCCCCCCACACGCCTTTCTCATCTAGCCTCCTCTATCCCACCTTCTTGTGGAGGGTCATGGGTCGGGCACGTGGGCGGAGGGGGGCTTGGACTCACAGCGGGCCGCCCTTGCAAGGGCCAGGGCGGCCGCGGCCGCCGCCAGGGCAGACGCCACCAGGGCGCCCGCTCAGCCTCGCCCCTTACCTGCCAGGGCTGCCCAGCTAAAGCACTTTCCTACCCCGCCGCCAACAGGGCACCTCCGCACCACCTTCTCCTCACCGAGCCACCGCCGCAGATGGCAGAGACCACCCCCGCGCGCAGTGGGACCCCCCCCGTTCGGGGGACCCTACGCCTGCCTGCGGGCGAGGGATCCCGCCGTCGGCCTCTCGGACGCCCGTGGGGTATCCCATGCGCAGAGGGATAGGCCATTGGGCCTTCCACTCGCAGCAAGCGGCGCCCAAAGTGACCCCGCGAAATAGCTCTGCCACCGCGCCGTTTTAATTCAGCTGTGCCACCTCACCTCCTCTTGTCTACCCTACCGCCTGGCTTTCGCACGCCCTTTAGCGCCGCCGCGCCACCGACTTGCTGCAGCATCCCCCACCTCCTCTTCCCATCCCCCAGATGTGATGCTCCTGCCCTTTTACCTTCCTCCTGCTCTTCGAGGCCACGGTCCGTATTTGTCGTTGTTGTTGTATTCCGCAAAGGGTGCCCGCCTGGGCTTCCCTGGGGGGGGGGCAGCGTTCGACGAGCACTATCGCCATCAGGAGCACAGGAGCACAGGAGGAAGATGAGGAGGATGAAGCGGAGGAGGAGGAGGAGGAGGAGGAGGAGGAGGAGGAGGGGCGGACGATGATGGGGAGGTGGAGGACGGAGGAGGCGGACTTTCCCCCAGTCTCGTTTCTAATAAGAGCATTGGCTGGTATTGGTCATGAGTCAGCGTCCCCTCTCTCCGCCTCGTTTCTCTGCCTTCTCCCGTTTCCCTTTTCCCTCTTCCGTTTCCGTTTTCTTCGCCGTGTGTTTCTTCATCTTCGTTATTTTTGTTCATCTATACCCACGCCGTCATTGTTTTTCTTCTTGTGGTTAGTATGATTATGGTGTGTCTTGTTATTAGTAGTGTACGTCCGATGATTAGTATTATTATTATTGCTCTTATCGTTAGTACTACTTTTTTACATGGTTTCGTATGTGCGACTCGTCTGTATTAGTAGTGTTACTATTATTGCTCTTAGTATTATTATTAGTAGTAGTAGTATTAGTATTACGATCATTATTAGTATTACGACTATCTATTTTAATATACGTAACATTACTAGTCGTAGTGATATAATGTTCTTATGATATGTTTTATTATTCGTCATATCCTCCTCTTCGCCTCATCTCCTCCTTTTCCTCCTCCTCCTCCTCCTCCTTTTCCTCCTCCTCCCTCCGCCACCACGCGGGTGCGGTAGGCTTCAAGGCATCCGAGTGCCACATAGGTGCGCAGGAATTGTGCCACCCTGCGAGGGTCGACTTCTGCCGCCGTTTCTGCCGCCCGTGGCCTCGGAGCGCAGGGTCCGCGCCCGACCACGACGACGACGACGACGACGACGACGCATCCGACGCGGCCACCGCCGCTGCCGCCGTCGTGGTCGTCGTGGTGGTGGTGGTCGTCGCGTTCCTTCCTTCTCCCCGCTCTTCGTGTTCCTCCTCCACTTCCTCCTCCTCGTGCTCTCCCTCCTGCCTAGTTTTAGTTACTCCGACCTTTGTCGAACCGATCGCCGCGTCTGAATCCTCCTCCTCCATCTCCTCCTCTCCCACGTCCGCCTCCTCCCGACCTCCCCCCCCATGCCCTCCTTCACCTCCCCTTCCTCCTCCCCCTCCCTCGTCCGCTTCGTCTTCGCCGTGCCGCCTGCCTTCTCCCTTCCTGGGCGGCCGCGCAGGCGGCCCCGCCGCAGAAGGCCGTGGTGGCCAGCGAGGAGGCGCGGGGTCCGCCAGCCCCCGCCTGCCCAGCCCCCCCTCCGGGTCCTTCGCCGCTGGGTATCGGGCACTCCTTTTCGGCTATACGCAAGAGTGACCCTGGGTAAGAGTGACCTTTGTTGCGCGGCTTTTTGGGGCTGCTACTGCTTCGTTTTCAGCCATCTGTGGACCCATCTGTGCCCGCACCACGGGGCACTCCTGCGAAAGGTCACTCTTACCTCTAGTCGACCTTTGCGGTCCTCGCTCCGTTGCGGACGTCCTTCGAGCTCTCGACCCTGGCGGGTTTCCCAGAAGCCTGGCCTGCGGGAGCGGGGGGCACACGTGGCGGCCCGTGCCCGCGGGCCGCCCGGCGGCCCGCGGGAGCAGGCGGTCATCCTTCGACTTCTGACCCCCGTCCGGTCCTTCGAAAGCCTGGCCTGCCCGAGGGTGTGGCCGCCGGTGTGACCGGCCACCTCCCTGGCTACCGCTGCCACATATCGAAACTAGAACCATTGCGCGCGCTTCGCGCGCGCTCAAGTTCTAACTAGGCTTAATAGGCTAACTCATGTCATCTCATTTTGGTCGCTTCTTGCGTCCAGGGACTCCCTTGGAGGCCCTGCGCAAGCCTCGGAATCGTATAGAAGGGGAAACGCGGAAACGCAGAAATCATTAATTCCATTTAGGTATTCAACGATTTGGGACCCTCAAAGGCTTCCAGGGGTCTTTTTTGGGAGGTGAGGGCGGTCTGAATTGTGGTCTGTTGTGCAAGAGAAGACCAGGGGCCAAACTTGAACAAAAAAATAAGGAATTTCGGGATTCCCATGTTTTTCGAGTTCCTCGGCGCTGTTCGGCGCTGTTTTTTGTTTGTGCCTCGCGGGTTTTGTTAGCCGGGCCCCTCAGGGGTGTGGGATCTTCCAGACCCACCGGGGGTTTGGATGCCTCCTGGAGGCCTGGACAGCCGTCGGAAGGGTGTCGCGGGCTGCGCGGGAGCGTGTTGGGCCGTTCTTTACGTTCTGGGGGCTCCTTGGGGTCGTCATGGGCTGTCCTTCGGCGACTTGGGATCTCCCCTGGGAAGCCAGGAGGCGCGGTACCGGCCAGATGTCAGGGGATGTGTAGGACCCCCGAGTAGGAGTCCCATTTTGAGAAAAAAAGAAAAAGGGGGGATTCTGGGAATTCCTTTTTTTATGAAAATCCTTGATCTTCGAGGGTTGGAAGCGGGAAAACGTGAGAAGGCGACAAACATTAGAAAAACAATTGGAAATCAACGATTGTACCCTCTTTGGGCTCTCTCGGGCCTCTCGGGACGGCTCTCGCAGCTCTCTTGGGCTGTTCTTGGAGCCTCGTCGAGGTCTTTCTGGGGCCTCTCAGGGATCGGGGGTGTATTGGGGGCCTCTGGGTGGTCCCAGTGGCCTTTCCTGGTAGCCTCCTGCTCCCGCTCTTGGGCCCATCTTGGGCCTGTTCTGGGGTGGTCTTGGGCTGTCCTGGGCGCCTCTTCGGCAGTCTTGGAGCCTTCTTGGCCCGTCTTGAGGCCGTCCTGAGGGTCTTTTGGGTGGTCTTGGGGCGATATTGGGAGCCTCTTCGGCGCTCTTGGACCGTTGGAAGGTCGAAAACGCGAGAAGCCAAAAACATTGAAACAAAAACAATGACAATCTACGATTTGGGCCTCTTCGGGCCGTCCCCGGACGCCTCTCGGACCTCCCTTGGGGTCTCTTTGAGGTTACCTGGGGGCCTCGAGAGCTGTCGGAAGGCTAACTTGGGCTGCTTGGGAGCGTTTTGGACCATGCTTTCGCATTCTGGGGGCTCCTGGGAGGCGTCTTGGGCCCTCCTGGAGCGCTGTGGAGGCCCACCGGAACGACAGGGGGAGCGGTACCGGGAGCGTTCCCGAGAAGTCACGGGGAGGTGTGGCACCCGGGGCCGGGGGGGGGCTCTATTGGGGTGCCTCTTGGGCGTCTTCGGGGCCTCTTTTGGTGTTTCTTCTGATCTCATGGGGGCTTGGGGCTTCTGGGGCGCTTCTTGGAGCCTCTTGGGGTCTCCTGGGGGTCTCTTGGGCCAAAAGGCGCGAATCTGGGGCACACTCGTCCCCGTCTTGTGCGCCGCCTGGGGGCGTTGTTGGGCGGTTTAGGCGCCTCGTGGGCCGTCTTGGCCCCCTCGTGGGCCGTCTTGGGGCACTCTTGGGGGCATCCTCGACCGGCTTGGGTGCCTCTTGGGCCGTCTTGGACGCAGTGGAAGCCCAAAAGGCGACTACGCCAAAAATATTAGTTTTATCATAGGAAATCGGCGATGTTTGCTTATTGGAGCTCTCTCGAGGTGCCTCTTGGGCGTCTTCGGGGCCTTCGGGGGCCTTCTTGGCGTCAGGGGAGTCGTCTTGAAAGGCGTCTGGAGCCATCGCTGCGGCCTCCTGGGGCCTCCCTGCAGCCTCTTGGGGCCCTGTTGGCCCCGGGTCGGAAAATGACGCCCGGGCCCCACATTTGTGGTCGAGGCGCCGGCCCCTGGACCCGGTCCCCCGTTATATGTATAGGACAGCCAGCACAGAATTGACGCTGACATGTTTTTGTGTGCCATGCGCAGGTCGGTTTTCCTCGACCTGCGCCTTGCGCACCTTCCGCGCGGAAGGTGCCGCAAGTGTACGGGCTCGACGCCGCTGCGGCCTCGGCGGCGGCGGCCGCGGCGGCGGCCGCGGCAGCGCCGCAACTGCCGCGCGGAAGATGCAGAAGGCGCAGGTCGAAGGGTCGCCGTGTCTGCCGCCGCCAGGGGGGGGTTCGAGCGAGAGCGCGGTCCCCCTGTAAAGCGTGAGGTCCACAGCGAGAGCATGCTTCCCGAGTGTCGAGGGCGCGGCACCGCAACTCATTGCGAGGAAGTCCCACGTGACACCGCGATTCTTGAACTCAGTGTGAGAAAGTCCCGCGCGAGCGCGATTTCGAATCCCCCCGGCGCCGCTCGGCCCCGGGCCGCAAGCCGCCGCCGCCTTCGCCGCCGCCGTTGGCGCCGCCACCGCCGCCGTCGGCGTTGCCGCCGCCGACGTTGCCGCCGCCGCTGGCGCAGTCGCCGCCGCCGTTGCCGCCGCCTTGAGCCTGTTTTTTAGTCCGGGGCGATGACGGCCATCATTTTGGGGGTGGGAGGGGGCCGATAATGTCACGTGTCGCGCCAGCGGCGTCATGGAATGCCTGGGAATGACTGATGGCGGGTAGCAGCAGCATGTAGGTGGCGATCTGCACCACAGCGCTTGTGTACACCTTAGTGCCTGCGTGCACCATGGCGGCTGTGTACACCACGGCGCCTGCGTTCACCATAGCAGCCGTGTGCAACACAACACCAGCGTACACCATAGTGCCTGCCTGCACCACAGCGCCTGTGTTCACCAAGGCGCTTGTGTGCACCACAACAACCGTGCGCAACAGAGCACCAAAGTTGTATACAGAATGTTGCATACAGAATTTGATGAGAAATCCGTTTGGCAAAACGGAACGCTTCTGGATCCCACCGGATATATGGTTTACTATAAGATCTGGAAAGGGAATCCTTCTGAAAAAAGGAGCGCCGCTGTAATCTGCGAGTCCTCCCGACTCCTCCCGCATCATCCTAACTCCTTCTGTCTGCGTCCAGAATGCTCCCGCAGAGTTGGCCGTCCGAGAACCAAGTTGCATGATTCACTAGACCAGTCTGCGGGGCACACTGAGATGCGCGCGTGCGCTGTAGCGCCGGCCCGCACGACGGGGGGAAGGGTGAGGGAGGAGGAGGAAGAGGAAACAGAGGAGGAGGACGAAGACGACGAAGAGGAGGAGTCGGAGGAGGATGAGAAGGAGGAGTGGAGAGGTAAGAACATCGCATTGTTTTGGCTGTTCGCTGCAGATCCTCATTGACATGCTCCTTCTACCTGTCCTGTGCACGCAGGCATTTTGGTTTACATCAGCGCTGCGTTGCACGCGGGTGCTGTGGTGTACACAGGCGTTGTGGTGTACACAGGCGCTGCGGTGCCCGCAAGCATTGTGGTGTACACAGGCGCTGTGTTGCACATGGTTGCTGCAGTGTATACATTCGCTGTGGTGTACACAGGCGCTGTGGTGCACGTGAGCACTGTGGTGTACACAGGCGCTGCGTTGCACACGGCTGTTGCGATGTAGACAGGCGCTGTGGTGTGCACGCGCGCTGCGGTGCACGCGAGCATTGAGATGTACACATGGGCTGTGGTGCAGATCGCCACCTACATGCTGCTCCTACTTGGCCTCGGTCGGCCAGCCCTAGGCTTTCCTGGACGCCGCCGGCGCGGAACGTGACGTCATCTGGGGGGGGGGAGGCGAAGCTGGTGACGGCCGTTATCCTGGGAAAAACTAAAGCAAGTTTCTTCGCCGCCGCCGTTGCCGCTTCTGCTGCCGCCGACGCTGTCGCTGCCACTGGCGAAGTCGCCGTCGTTGCCCTCGGCTGCCTCGCCGTCGCCGCCGCTGTCGTCGCCTATGGCGCCGCCCGGCACCAGGCCCCGCGCGGCGCGCCCCTTGGGCGCGCCGCCGCAGCGGGCGCGCAGGCGTCCCGGCACGAGGAGCGCCGCGCGGCCATCGCCGCGCGCCGCCGCCGCCGCCGCCTGGTCGTTGTTGTCGTCGTCGTCGTTGGCGTCGTCGTCGTCGTCGTCGTCGTTGTCGTCGGCGTCGCCGTCGTCGTCGGTGGCGTCGTCGTCGTCGTCTTCGTCGTCATCGTCGTGGGTGCCGTCGTCGTTGTCGTCGTCGTTGTCGTCATTGTGTCGTCGTCGTGCTCGCCGATTGAAGATGGAGGCTCGACGATTCAGGTTTTGGACTGCTTTTTTTGGTGGGTGCTCTTGGAGTTTCTGGAGGTTTCTAGTGCGTGTGTGGGAGGGTTCTTCGTCGTCGTCCTCACTTGCTTTTTCTCGTTCGCCGATCGGCCATTTCGAGTCTTGAGAACACGACAGCACGCAGCGTCAGCAGCGCACCACATATGAAGCAGGAGAATTGACGTGCAATTGCACGGTGAAGAACGAACAGGAGTTTGTACAGTCGGATCGAGGTACAGATCGAGGTATGTTCGGGAAGGGTACCCTGATGTTCTTCGTGTTTGTGGGATGTTCCTGTGCACGCTGGGGAGGGTACCCTTGGATGTTTGGTGTGTCTTGGCCCGCAGAGGGTCTCATGTTTTTTAGGGATCATGATGTTCTTCTGGCCCAGGTCCGACTGTATGCAACTGGATACTGTTGTGGGGCGTGGAAGCCCGCCAAACCCACCAGTCCCAGCCTGTCTCTCCGCACTACATGCCTCAGTACTCTTGGATCCAAAGAGACGTGTCAAGTCGTCTGTTGTCCCTTGATGAATGCTCTCACTTACGTCTCGCATGGCGACGCATACTACACCGATTTGCTGTGGCAAAGGTAAACAATCGCGACCCTGGCGATGCACAGGAATAAGGACATGATCAGGAGGAGTACAAGGAGAAGAGTTAGTCGGGTCGAACGAGTCAGAAGGCCCCGTCCATTCTCACCCTCCCTCCCATAACGTACGAATCAATTGTGGCACAACCTGTTGATTATTGGGATTGGAGCGCGGTCCCACCTGGCGAACGGAAGACGATTGCGCGCGGTCCCTCTCCCGACAATTTGGCGACCGTACAGCCCTTCGCAGAGGCGGGAATGGCTCTGAGAAAATCCTCCGATGTAGCTCCTTTTCCTTTTGCGGCCAAGCGAGGAGCGCGGAGATTACGATCGGTGGCTAGCCTGGGGGTTGGGAAGTTAGAAGGGGCAGGCCTTCTCAGAAGGCTCGGGAGTCCCCCGGCCTTCTGAGAAGTTCTCTAAGCTTACCATGAAGACACAGGCAACCTCCTGAGAAGGCGCGAGGACTTCGCAGAAGTCCCGCCGCCTTCTGAGAAGGCCTTCTCCGTTTCACTTCATCCCCTCGCTCGCCGCTGAGACTAGGGAAGAGCCGCGCCGACAGAGCAGCATGCCACTATCTCTCTCTCTCTCTCTCTCTCTTTCTCGAGCACAAGCTGCGCGGTGCCTTGGGCGACAGCAGCCCTTCGCCCGCCCTCCCGCGCGGTCCCGTTGCTGCCGGTGCCGCTCTCCATCGACTCGGCGAGAGAGACCTGCGCCGCACTCGCGCGGTCGCGCCGTGTCCAAGAGGGATCTGCGCGGAGCTGCGTCGAGGGCGACATGTCGCCCGCTCGCGCGGCGGCCTCCGGAGCTTGGGAGGGTGAGCACGTGCGCGCGCGCGCGCCGAGGCGGGAGCACCACGTTCGTGCGAGATCTGCGCGGCGCCAGAGCGAGAACGGCATTTTCGTTCGTTCGCACGTCGACGACGACGTTCTAAAACTCAGCGCCGCGCTTACGCGGGAAAATGAGCGCTGCGTGAGGCGAGAGCGACGTTTCCGCCCTGTCGCGCAGGAAGCGCACCCGTCCCGCATTTGCCGCGCACATTGCAACGTCAGCGCCAAAAGTCCATGCTGATATCAACATGTAGACTTTACATATTTCCAGGTCGAGTGGAAGGATTGGGATTGGTGTCCACTTGGGCAGCTAGAAGGCACAGCAGGGATACATGTATAGATATGAAACATGCTTGCAGGGGTATGCTGAGCAGATCGTTGAACGCCGTCATTTTTCACTCTGTATTCATATGGGCTCAAGTTTTTCTCTCGGGAAGAACGTTTGATGGCCCTGCGTGCCTACCGCGGCACGCTGGCCCTGGCTGCCGCGTCGGCGCCTGGGCTAGCCTCGCTGCTGCGACACTCGGCGCAGTCCAACTTTCTCGCGGTGCTCTTCGGCGCTGAGGCCCAGCGGGCTGCGCGCGCCGTCGGGGCGGCGGTCAGCGGCCCAGGGGCCGTGCACCCCGAGGAGGGGAGCTGCCCAGTGGTCCCATACCCGCCGTGCCCCGATCTCGTCTGCCCGGAGGCGCCGCCGTGTGCGCCTTGCCCGGCACTGCAGTGCCAGGCGTGCCAGCAGATCCCGGGCGACCTCGACCAGCCCGTTTGCATCGGCTGGGCCCTCAGTGTAGGAGGAGTCGGCATGCAGGGGGGGCGGGCGCGGTGGGGGCGCCCACAAATCGAGCCGCGCGTGCAGGGCCTCGACCCCGCCTGCTGCCGCAGTCGGTGGGAGCGGCGCGGCGCGAGGCTGCCCCCCGCGGGCGGCTGCGACGGGCCCAGGCCCGACGCACCGCCGCTTGGGCGGCCTCGCGCCACGCCTGCGTGCAGCAGACAGGGCGGAGGGTGGGAGAAAGAACGCGCGCCAGGGAGGCACCCGCCGCGCGCGCGCGCGGGGCGCGCGCGCGGCGCCTCCTCCAAATGCAAATCGCCTGCGAAGCGCACGCGCCGCGGGGGCAGCGACCCCCCCCCGCGGCGACGCAACCCCGGCGCTAGCAAATCACCTGCGAAGCGCACGCGCCGCGGGGCAGCGACCCCCCCCCCGCGACGCGCAACCCTGGCGCGCGACGGCGCGATGGCCCGCGCCTGCGCAGCGAGGCCGCGGTCGCGTCGCACTGCCGCGCGCGCGACCTACGCGCAACCGTGGCCGATTTGTGCCCGCCCACAACGGTGAACGTCCGCGTCTGCGAGCGGACTTGCCGCCGTGGGCCTACCACAAATCGAGCCGCGCGTGCAGGGCCTCGACCCCGCCTGCTGCCGCCGTCGGTGGGAGCGGCGCGGCGCGAGGCTGCCCCCCGCGGGCGGCTGCGACGGGCCCAGGCCCGACGCACCGCCGCTTGGGCGGCCTCGCGCCACGCCTGCGTGCAGACCCAATGCCACACGGCACGCAGGCGACACGGGCCGGCAACGCCGAACGCGCGGGGGCAGAGCACGGGAGCCGTCGCGCGCACCCGCTCACGCACAGAAGCGAAACGTGGCGGCGCTGGCCGCCGGCGCCTAGCAGGCACCCTCGTCCGAATCCGACTCCAGCATGTGCGCCTGGCGCGAGCAGCGCGCCGCGGCGCGGGCGGAGGGCGCGTGGCCCCGCCTCCACGACCGCGTCCCTTTCAAAATCGTCACGGTCGAGATACGCCATGAAAGCGCAGGACCGCCACTCCCCGGCCGCGAGAATCTCGGCCAGCGTCGCGCCAGCCTCCTGCAGGTCCTTGGCGTGGCCCCTGCGGAGGTCATGCAACCGAAACAGGCTCGCCCCTTGGACACCGAGGGCAGCGAGCATCTCGCGCAGGGTCCGCAGCGCAGCAGCCACCGAGATGCCTCCGAAGAGCCCGCGGCCCAGCCCGCAACGCGCCACCCAGGGGCCCGGGGTGTGCACGGGGCACGTGGCGCGGCACGATGAGCACCAGCACTTCCGCGACAGGCGACTGCCCTGCGGCCGGTTCTTCCGCCGCCGCAGCAGCAGCGTGAGCTCCGATTTGCCCAGCACTAGCGCCGCTTGAAAGGGCGGCGCGTCGCCGGCGTCGGCCACGCGCACGGCCGGCAACGCCTCGCTGGGAACACGCAACAAGAACGTGTAGGCGAAAAGGAAAAGCATCGACGCGCGGAGCCACTCGGGGCGGCGCGCTCCCAACTCGACCAGCGCGGCGACCGCGCTCTTACGGATGAACAAGCGCGGGCGCGGAGCCCAATCGGTCCGCGCCCGGACGGCGGCGCGCGCACGCTCGACCTCGGGGCGGTCGAACACGGCGACGCAGACCCCAGTCAGGAGGCAGCCGATCTTAACGTAGCTGCAGTAATTTGCGCACGTCTCCCCGCAGCGAAAGAGGGCGCTCCAGGCGACCAGGTCCGCGCAGGCTGGCGGGAGCTGCATGCACGGGTATTTCAACATTCTGATGCAGTAGGCCTCCCAGCATTTGAGGCCGCTTCTCACGCTTGCGAGCGACCGTGCGCATGGTTGCAGCATAGCGCGAACGCGTTCCTCCTCCCGCCAGCGGGCCGCGCCCGCCGGATTGCGGAGGCGAGCAGCGGCCTCGGCGAGCGCCGCCCGGGGCCCGCGCGTTATTGGCAGCGCGACCGGCGCGCCCAGCTGGTCGAGGACGCTCGGGACGGGCGCCTCGCGAGCCACGGCGCGTGGGCATGCGCAAGCGCGCGGGGCCGATGACGCGCGCCTGTGGCGGCCCAGGGGGTGACCCCGGGGCGCTCGGCGCCGCGCGTCTCGCCGGCGACCGGCTGCGGGCGGGCGCGCGCCCTCCAACTGCCGAGCCCACGGCGACGGGCGCGCCTGCGAGGCGCACGCGCGGCGGGGGGGGGGGCCGCGCGCGCCAAAAAACCCTCGCCAGCCGAGCCTCGGCGCGCAGCAATCTTCGCGGCTCTGAATAATTCGTGCAGGACTTCGACATTGGCCTGCGCGGTGACCGGCCAACCTTCCAGGTCTGCGGCGTCTGCACTGGCGAGCTCGCAGGCTCGTGCGAAGCCGTTCTCAGCCAGGAAATCAGCAGCCCAGGCGACGGCCGTCCTGGGCGCTGTCGGGCGCAAGGAACACAATTCAAGGAATAACGACATGATGCCGCGCGGCGCGCCTGACAATGCGAGCGATGCGCCTGAGGCACTGGCCGCGTGCGCTCCGCTTGCGACAAAACGCGGGACCCTAGGATGACAAGCGCGGCGGCGCGCCGAACGCTGTGCCG